ATCAGCAAAGTCAGGGGGAGGCTCGGAGAAAATAGGGGGCAGTGAGGAAGAGGAAGAAGAGTCCCCGAAGGACTCAATCTCATCAGAACTGAGGTCAGCCTGACCCTCATCAATGACCCCAATCAAAGGCCGACCACTAGTGGCCGCAACATCAACAGACTCCATATCAGCAACATTTTCAACAACCACAACATTGCTTTCATTAACAGTAATATCATTGACTTCATTTGATCTTTCAGTACTACTATTATTAATAACTTCACTTGATCTTTCAGTATTATTATTAATAACTTCTCTTTCAGTACTACTATTATTAATAACTTCATTAACAGTACTATTTGCACTACTATTATTAATAACTTCATTTAATCTTCCAGTACTATTAACACTAATATTCTCATTACTAACGTTTAATTGCTCATTACGTACTGCAGCATTTTCATTATTCTCTAATTCAGAATTAGCAAGAAGAGAGGCAAACTCTTGGCTGTTGGTAAAACAAATATTGGAAGTAGAATTACTCCTTTTAGCAGATGAGCCCTTATCTTTCCCGGCTCTTTTGGAGGCCCTTTGGTTGGACTCCCCAGAAGACTCACCACTGACAGGGACTAAGTCTTGCAGAATCGACTGACTCTGCATAAGATCAAGCTCGTTATCCTTAAGGAGCTGAGAGTCGGAAGAATCCATTGGCCTCCGCAGACTGCGGGGATGAGGCCAAGGGCGGAAAATCCGCAGAGTCTCCCGCTGACCCGTCAGAAGTACAATTCCGAGCAAAGTGCCCAGATTGCCCACACTTTCTGCACTTATCCTTGTTCGGGCAGTTTGCCGATCTGTGGCCCTGAACGGCACAAAGATTGCAAACAAGGGGTTGGCCACGATACCACAAGCGACACAGATAGCCATCCACCATCAGAAAGCGGGGTAGTACCCCGGATAAAACAACATCAACAAGCCTGGTACCATTAAAGATGTTTTGGTTGGAAAGAAAAGTCTGCTTCTTAACAGACTTGACTGCACCATAGGCCTCAAAAGCAACCCCCAAAGATCTATCATCTTCCTCGAACGGAAAATCGAAAACGTGCACACGCCTGACTTCCGGTTGACATGCGCCGTTCAAAAACGCTTTTGCTTAAGCTCCCTATTGGGCCAATGGTGCGTTTCCCTGACCCCAAACAATACTAAAACAATAGAAAGAATGACATGTCATTGTTTCCTGCGACCAATTAGGAGAGACCTTACAAACAGCTCCTACATTACTGCCCTATTGGACATGCATAAAAACCAAGGGCGTCAAAATGAAGGGCGTCGGCTATTTTTGCTTGATAAAAAAACACGGCTCATGATATTTAACTCATGGCTAAGATGTTGGGCTGGGTTGTATGAGGTGTGTAAATGAATCCAAAACCATCCCCCGCGAAATATATGCCGTGGTCTCGATCCTCGCCATCAAGGATAGGACTTAACCCATTTTAATGTCTTACGAAGTCTCAAGTATAAATCACCCACAAATGAAAAGAACTTTCCTGAAAATTTTCTCTTAACGGTTACTTAATCGTACTTCAAAGAAATGGCTGATTGTTGTGGGACTTTTCTGTCATGTTTTTTTTACGTCATTCTGTGGAAGGGAAATGTCGAACGGCTTAACCTTAACAGACCTTATTATCATTATTTGGCGTTAAAAGAGCAGGGGGGGTGGGGGGAGTAAGAAAGAAAAGAAGGAGGGAGGAAAAAAAGGAGAGGGGACCCCTTCTTCTCTTTCTTACTCTCCGCCCCCCGCCTCTTAGCGCCTGTCACGCAGGCTAGTGTTGGGGGTATATTATGATCATGAAAAGTTCAACATGTTCAACACAAGGATCGTCAATTATAGGGTCCACAGATTTGTATTTATGTCAACTTTAAATTCTCATTGGCTTGACGAAAAAGAAGAAGGAAAAGTCATCACACGTAACTTATTATCTATTGCTGTGATGGAAGGTTTTTCCGCTCTGAAGCGATCGAATTTAACTAATGATAACTCCGACGCTTGCGGGAAAGAGACGTCATTTCAATTTCTCTGTAGGACTGGGATATGATCAAACCTCTAACTGGTACAGCAAACACAGCAGTAGATTAAACAGGACTAAACTTTGGTTCCAACAGCGTTTATTCTTCAGCGGATCAAATGGCAATAATTAACTCAGGAGGGACACAGCAAAAATAATCGAAAAACAGTAAAAACTAGCTTACTTATATTAAATATGATTTCTACAACCACTGAAGACAAAAGAAACTTTGAAAACTAAATGCAAACTCTATTTTTAACCTGAAGTCTTTTGTTAATACTGTTGCTATTTTAGAAAGTCTGAAGTACTGAAAATAAGAACTAGCCAGGTCAGCAGGAGAGCGTTTATGTACAAAGTGTTTTAAAATATGAATGAAAATGCAAGTTTAGCGAGAGGCTGTTTCAACAAAAAGAAGCGCAGACTAATTGCAAGTTTTCACCTTAAACAAAAACCGATCTATTTAAAAAAAATTGCAAGGTAGACAGCAAAACCTTTCATATTCAAAATTCACCTGTTGCCTCTTTTGACTAACAACTTAATGAAATATTTGTTCGCAAAGAGACAGCTAATTAAAAAAGCGGCACCAGTACAAAAGGCCTCTGAATAGATCTCGTCCAGTTGTAAAATCACGATAGATAGACTGAAGTTAAATAACCATCATTCAGAAACTAATTATCCTTTTAAAAGTCAACGTTGAAGTAAAATGTTTATAATTGAAAAGAGAACGAGCAATTAGTTTTGTTTGTTAAGGAACACTGTTGGCTTTTCTACAATTATTACTTAGTGGACACAAAGCAAATTAAACGACAATAAAATAGCACGAGCCTTTTTGCGGAGCTAAAACATCCTTATGCAATTTCAATATGAATTACTAAAAACAACGTCAAAGATATGAAATTGGAGACAAATAAAGAATTCATGGAAAATCTCTCCTTACATTACCTTCAAGCTTCGACAATCTTTTTACATCTGGTTCTCCTAGGCTCTTCATGATTACAAAACTCAATTTGCTCAGTATCTTCGACACCATATAAAGTCTCGCACAACTTTAAAACAATTTAAAATATCTTGCCAATGCACACACTTGGGAACTCTCCAAGTTCAAACGTCGATCTTTTCATGAACCAAACTTAATACGGTCGACCCAAATGATAAGTCATTCGACGGTTGATTCAGATGTCGAACTTAATTAGTCGGACTCAATTCATTTTCATGATGTTCAATGGTCTAAAATGCTTACAAGTGAAAATAAGTTTTAATAATTTATGCATTAGGTTCGACACATGAGAAGTTTGACGTTTAAACTGGACCTAAGCGAACATTTAACTTCCATGACATGGTCTAGATAATTTTAAATTTTCCCGTAAATGTGAACTTTTGTCGAAATATCTCTAGTTAATATGTGACCATCTTTATTAATAATAATCCAACTAAATCTCCTTATAACTTCTAAATGATTGTATATAACTCAACTTCCTCCTATTTTTAAAGTAATTTTGTTTGTAACTGATATTAATTCTATTCCTTTTTCCTGTTTCTTAGCAATCTGTTGTTGATTTTATAAAATCGCGTCGTTCCTCTTCTTTAAGTCTAGCATTCTCGTCCCCAGAGCCCCCTGGGGGCCTGAGCACGAGAACCAGGAGGCTCTGGGGACACAGGATTTGAAGTTAAAGTCCTAGATTTTAGGACTTTCGGTCATTTATGATTTTCTGCAAGAGCGTCCTGGTTTTCGTGCTCAGGCCCCTAAGAGGCTCTGGGGACGAGAATGTAAGTCTACTCAAACTAACCTAGGAGGAGCCTGGACCTAAGCCCCAGGCTTCCAGTTCAGTCTTCCCCGTCCCCGTCTTTTTCTGTACATTTATCTAAATTCTACGGCCTGTAATGTGACAAAAACAACTAAATCAAAAGAAGAAGCATCACTTTCTTTCTCTTCAAGATAAAGAGTTGCCATCCTTGCGAGGAACCCTCTACCGCGTAATTGTGATGAAAATTAAACCGTCTTCGACTTCAGATAATTAGGAACTGCTTCACTGCGTTCTTCGTGGTACCTGTACAACAAAAACAGCAAGGAGAAACGTTAGCAATCTAGCAAAAGAATAGTGATTTCAGCCAGCGAAGCCAATCAGTTAATATTTTGGCGCCTGCCTTCCAAATCATTTCAAGCATAGAATAGTATTAAAACCCGTAGCTCACATCGTACGAGAAACATTATTGTAGATTAACCGATACTTACAACCGAAAATGCTTAATAAAGCCCCTCCCCCCCTCTCCAAACCCTTCAACCTTTTCAAAGAAAGAAAGCGCGAAGGCTCCCTCTCTCTCTCCTTCAAGCCTTACTACAATTACTCTTAACCAATAGACGTATATGATTGGTGTATTAAATGTTCACGCGACTGTAACTGGACTGAAGGCTAGAACTGGTTGTTGTTCTTCGGCTGTATGACCTCCAACTAAAGCTTTTCCACTTAGTGTTCTAGTTCTTTATGGAGACTACGATATTCGGTCAATTGAATAAGCCCCCGACTCTCAAATGTCCTTGAAATAAATAAGTCCCTGGGGAAATAAATATAGGATTAACGGTACTTTTCTGACTTAATTTCAGCTGGTTAGAATATTGAATCTTATAATCAACCACCCACCAAAAATGCCAAAGTGTTTCCACTCAGAGCACCATAACTGAAGCCGGTGACTCTCCTAGGCGATCACCTTTCGTAAGCGACAGGAAATTTTGGGTGGTCGCATACGTCTGGGTTCGACTGTAAGTTACAATCATTCGGAAAGAGCTCAAACAGGATCACCGTCACTTTAAAATGTAAAGAAATTACGAAATTTGAAATAAATTTTGTAATGTTTAACTGCCAAACAAAGTTTTCTTTCTTTAATTGCTAGTTAAAAAGACGATTGCAAATGCAGGGATTATGATCCGAGGATTAAATATATTCCAAAATACCTTGCTATTTAATTGATGCCTTCAAACTCTAGCGTTACGTCGTCACCAATGAGAACAAAAGGCGCCCAGTACCTCACTGCGCTAAAGTCGTCAGATTCTCTCATGGATTTCATGGTTTTATTCAGGGCCTCACTGGCACTTCGTCCATGGACTAAGTGTTGGTAGAAAACTTTCATGAACTCCATAGTAGCTTCGTCGTCAATGCACCACAAGGACGCCAGAACAGAACGAGCACCGGCACACAAAAAAGCCCGTGCGATGCCGACCACACCCTCAGATGTGACCTCTCCGCAAGCACTATGACCGCAACTAAGTACAACAAGTCTTGCCCTAATCTGCGCATCTAAAACATCTTTCATAGTTAAGAGATAGTCCTCCTTGGCTGGATCCACGGATGAACATCTTGGGTTCGGGGCCAAGGCAATTTCTCCTGTTTCCATTTCACCGTGAGCAGCAATGTGCACCAAAGCAACCGAGGAGATACGTCTCAAAACTTCATCTTTTGTTGCCTGCTTTCCCACGAGAGGTTCCGTTTGAAGGATTTTCCCAATCATCTGCACTTCTTTTTCGGCCCACTCTAACTGCCCTAGCGTCGTTACCTCCTCTACCCACGGATCGCCGACGAGAAGAGCGCCAGTCTTGCTGTGCCAATCTGGTGGACAATTTTGGATTAATCGAAGACTGGAAAGTGAGGGAAACAGACGAATTCTAAACGTTTCGCAGAGGTACTTTGATTTGAAGTCCATGAAAGCAGCATAAGGCGCCAAACACAGAGGTCCTTGTGGAACAATCACAACCTCATCGCTATGGAGTAAGTCTCTTATAGGGTCGATAACAACATTGTACAATGTTTGTAATGCCATTGGTTTCCTTAATGAGCGATCTTCACAGTGAACATCAGCTCTCACATGTATTTCTTTCCATGCAGTCATCAATGAGTGATCTACACAATTAACATGAGCTCTCACACCTATTTCTTTATGTGTAATTTTCAACAGAGACTGAAAATACGTTGTGACGGAGATATCGATCGGAGTTCTTCTAGTTTTGATTCCTTTTCCTTTCTCGTTCACCCAAAAAAATATTCCTTCCTCGTTGATACCTATAAAAGCTGTATTTGATGGTAGGTAATTAACATCGTCAGGTGTTGTTGCAGAGAGTGTTCCTATTTCTAAACGTAACCCTTTAAGCCCATACATCAACTCCAGACGATCACGTAAAGCTTGTGCACGTCCATGCTCAGCAGTTAGAAGTGCCTCGACGACTTTACCTTGCTTAAACTGAAGCCCCCATAGCCGCAAATTAACATGATCATACGTACTCACAAGGCTAATCTTCCATTCGTCATTAGATATGAGATTTCCCCTGATATGGTCAAAGGCAAGAACACTCTTTTTATAATAGTCAACAGCTTTCTGTAATTCTCCAACATTTCTAAAAGCGTTGCCAAGATTACAGCACGCTGTTCCTTCTCCTGCCCTGTTTCCCACTATTTTCGAAATTCTGAGGTCTCGTTCATGGTACTCTATGGCTTTCTGGAAATCTCTAACACTGTCATAGGCGTTGCCAAGATTACCGTACGCTTTTCCTTCTCCTGCCCTGTCTCCCACTTCTTTCGAAATTTTGAGGTGTCGTTCATGGTACTCTATGGCTTTCTGGAAATCTCCAAGACTGTGATAGGCGTTGCCAAGACTACCGTACGCTTTTCCTTCTCCTGCCCTGTCTCCCACTTCTTTCGAAATTTTGAGGTGTCGTTCATGGTACTCTATGGCTTTCTGGAAATCTCCAAGACTGTGATAGGCGTTGCCAAGATTACCGTACGCTCTTCCTTCTCCTGCCCTGTCTCCCACTTCTTTCGAAATTTTGAGGTGTCGTTCATGGTACTCTATGGCTTTCTGGAAATCTCCAAGATTTCTAAAGGCGTTACCAAGATTACAGTACGCTCTTCCCTCTCCTACCCTGTCTCCCACTTCTTTCGAAATTTTGAGGTGTCGTTTATGGTACTCTATGGCTTTCTGGAAATCTCCAACACCGTCATAGGTGTTGCCAAGATTACCGTACGCTCTTCCTTCTCCTGCCCTGTCTCCCACTTCTTTCGAAATTTTGAGGTCTCGTTCATGGTACTCTATGGCTTTCTGGAAATCTCCAAGACTGTCATAGGCGTTGCCAAGATTACAGTACGCTTTTCCTTCTCCTGCCCTGTCTCCCACTTCTCTCGAAATTTTGAAGTGTCGTTCATGGTACTCTATGGCTTTCTTGAAATCTCCAAGATTTCTAAAGGCGTTACCAAGATTACAGTACGCTCTTCCCTCTCCTACCCTGTCTCCCACTTCTTTCGAAATGCCGAGGCTTCGTCGATGGTACTCTACGGCTTTCTGGAAATCTCCTAGACTGTCATAGGCGTTGCCAAGATTACCGAACGCTTCTCCCTCTCCTGCCGTGTCTCCCACTTCTTTCGAAATTTTGAGATCTCGTTCATGGTAGTCTATGGCTTTCTGGAAATCTCCAAGACGAAAATAGGCGTTGCCAAGATTACCGTACGCTTTTCCTTCTCCTGCCCTGTCTCCCACTTCTTTCGAAATTTTGAGGTCTCGTTCATGGTACTCTATGGCTTTCTGGAAATCTCCAACACTGTCATAGGCGTTGCCAAGATTACAGTACGCTCTTCCCTCTCCTGCCCTGTCTGCCACTTCTTTCGAAATTTTGAGGCCTCGTTTATTGTACTCTATGGCTTTCTGGAAATCTCCAAGACTGTAATAGGCGTTGCCAAGATTACAGTACGCTGTTCCCTCTCCTGTCCTGTCTCTCACTTCTTTCGAAATTTTGAGGCTTCGTTCATGGTACTCTATGGCTTTCTGGAAATGTCCAAGACTCTCATAGGCGTTGCCAAGATTACAGTACGCTTCTCCTTCTCCTGTCCTGTCTTCCACTTCTTTCGATATTTTGAGGTCTCGTTCATGGTACTCTATGGCTTTCTGGAAATCTCCAAGACTCTCATAGGCGTTACCAAGATTACCGTAGGCTTTTCCTTCTCCTTCCCTGTCTCCCACTTCTTTCGAGAGTTTGAGGTGTTGTTCATGGTACTCCATGGCTTTCTGGAAATCGCCAAGGCTGAAATAGGCGTTGCCAAGATTACAGTACGCGTTTCCTTCTCTTGCCCTGTCTCCCACTTCTTTCGAATTTTTGAGGTGTCGTTCATGGTACTCTATGGCTTTGTGGCAATCTTCAAGACTGTAATAGGCGTTGCCAAGATTGCAGTACTCTTTTCCCTCTCCTTCCCTGTCTCTCACTTCTCTGGATACTTTGAGGTCTCTTTCATGCCAGTCTGTAGCGTCCTGTAAATCTTTAAAGTTGACATTGGCGTCGCCGATATGCCTATTACCTTTTTCTTCCTCTCTCCTCTCTCCAACTACATTGCCAATCTTGTTGGTGTTTTGAAGATTACAATTCGCCCCTGTTTGTACTTCCTCAGCCATTTCAATAACAAATTGCAGATACAATCAACTGCTTTTCCAGGAGATAGTTGCGGTTGTCACATTTCTTGCTGGCTTTGCTATTTCAGCTCTTCTGAAAAAAAGTACAGACATGTTGTGGTTATGTTTTTGCGCCGTTTAAAATACAATATCTCTTTATAAACGATAACGAAGATGAAAAGTAAAATTAACACCTAGGGTGTAAAAGCTTATTTATTAGCTCCTTTATTATTCGTTTTTGAGCTATTTTGAAAAACTAGCTCATCTCTCAGTGGTGTGAGCGTGTGTATCTTTGTGGCTTTGCGGATTATTGGCTTTGTCTGTTCGGATGTGTGTTGCAGGGGCCAATAAGGTTAGGGGTACTATGAGTTGATGCTGAGGAACCAATGAGATTTTGGCATCTAAACATGACATTGCTGCGCTTAAGGTCAAACAAGGGCACTTTGAGACCGCCAGTTTGGTTCTTCACAACTTTCTCGTCTTTTATCACCGCTAAAGGTGTTTGGAAGCATAACATTTAAATATATTCATGATTCAAACGGTAAGTACAGTGATGCAGCTGTTTAAGGGTTCGTATTTTAGTGTGGCTGCTAGTTCAAGACATTTATGACCTAATTTGGCTATCGCGAACGGCACAACGTAGTGAATTATGTTCCACCTGCTTCAAAGTGAAGTGTAAAATTTTTAGAAATTGGTATTTGATATTAACTTTAATTTGGACGTATGCGGCGTAATTGTGTTTTTAGAAGATTGAACAAGAGCTGTTTTTTTTCTGTTGTACAGAGTAAATTAATACCGTAAAGATGGTTTAATATTCTCTCTCGTACAAAGATGGTGTGTGTGGCCGGGCGATTAACATCTCAAACTCCAGATCTGGAGGTCCGGGGTTCAAGTCTCGACCGTCGCGTTCTTTCCTTAGACAAGGAACTTTACTCCACTTTGTCTCTCTTCACCCAGGTGTATAAATGGGTACCGGCGACATACTGTTGGGGGGCTAACCCTTCGATGGACTAGCATCCCAACCAGGGGGGAGTAGCAATACTCCTAGGCATGTTTCACGCTAAGGAAATCGGGATAAGCTCCGGCCGTTTGGGCCTTTGGGTCGTGTGCGCCTTTACCTCTCGTACAAAGTTCAACAGACCTTTAATTTCACGTTCCGGCAACTTAAGTGCAACCACATTTGATACATGTTTGCTGTCATAAAAGTAATTAAGAGTCAATGTCTGTAATTTTCGAGAATCGGTTGACAGTCGTGAAATTTTGAATTTCTTCATATTTTGCCCAAATAATCTCTATAGTACCCTAATTTCAAAAATCACGTTAAAACTTGTAACAGCTTTTTATTTTTTCAGGAATCAGGCAAAGTTTGAAAAACTCCAAATCGGCGCTCTTTCGAGTATGAAATTAGCGAAAATTGAGCATTTTCTTCGCGCTCGTACATAAAAACGGAATAATATCTCTAGATGAAATCAAGTCACAAAACAGACACACATTTTTACTTTATAATTCAGCAGTTAACTTTAAATAAACCGTTTAAATGTGACTTTACCGGCCGCAAGAAGAAACACGGTTTCAGCACTTTTCAAAAATGGCAAATTTGACCTAACTTTACCATCGTAAAAACCCAGTTGGTACACGGATTTTCAATATGAAACAAGATCCTTTGCTGTTGTTTGTGTAAAAATATTTCTGGCGGCATTCCGAATGCGCACCGTCAAGAGACCAAAACCTGAAGGGTATTTTGACACCAGGAAAGCGCGTGCAACAAGCAAGTTTCGACGCTTGGAATATTAATCCTTCGCAAACGTAGGTTACTTCGACATTTAAACCCTAGTCAGAGTTGTAACGGTTTCAGATTATATTTCGGCGTTTCTGTGCGGTTTAACATGATTCCTTTCAACTGATTTTTGCGATAAACCATAATGAAGAGACGAATACGCAGTTCAAATCACAGTTAGTAGAGGGGAATATTGTCGAAATATTCGCTTGCAAAAGTTTTAATGGTATTGAAACCGTAAAATCAGAAAAGTTATTTACTTACCTGAATTTAAATGCTAGACGGGGTCACAGTAGCGCTAACTAAATTCTGCATCATGGCAGAATCGAAGTTAAGTTTGTATATGTTTTCAACCTGTCAACACGAGGGAAGATGACATTCCGGAAGTGCGTGACGCGTAACGCGCCGGAAAAGAAATTCCTGGTATAAGTGTTTTACGGTGCAAGTCTTTGTTGTATGTTCGCATAGCATCTCGCACATATTCAAACTTGGTTTGTGGCGCCTGTGGCCCCAGTAATGCTGAATGTATTGCGATCGTAGAAAAGATGTCATGAGTCACTTGGTATGCTCCTGACTTGTTAGAATAGTTATGGGGAGAGTGGGGAGTTTTTGAGCGCAGGAATTTTTTTTCGTTATCAAATTCCTTGTATGAATTTTTTTTGGGCCGTAGCATGAATATTTTTTAGGGTTAATTGGCGTGCATGAATTTTTTTCATTTAAATTTGCCTTGCGCGAATAATTTTTTTTTTTGTACTTCGCCCGCCCCCCCCTTCCCCCCACCCCCATAAGTTTTCTAATGGTCCATCCCTTAGTCACGTGAGTATGTAGGGCAATGACCAAACATCGACCCTACCATGCTAATGATAAAAGTAAGATTTTCTGCATTTACGTTAGGTGATCTTTGTTTGATCCACAAAATTGGCGCATGAAAATAAGAGTTTTTCCTCACCACCTCTAAATGTTTGGTTCCGGGTAGCGGTGCAACAAATCGCATGGTACCGTTCTAGATCAACCTACTGGCTGCTCATAGAGGGGTCCATAAAGGAACATTGATTGACGAATCTGTATGACCTGAACTGAAAATGATATACGCAGACGTTTTCTGAGCGACGAATGTGCAGCTTTTACACTCCTCTTTCGTTTCGAAAATAGACGAGCACGCGAGCGAACGAGAGATAGCCCCTTGCTCTACTGGTCAATAAATCCCCCGCGGCTTTTATTTTCATACGCAAAATCGACAATCTCCAAAGAGAAAATAGATCGACGATCTCTAATGAAAAAGTAGAGGGTCTGTGAACAGGCTACGAAGGTGCTTGCTATTATTTTAGTGAACTTTACAAGAGGTCTCAGGTGATTATGCTAACGTCATAAAAAGTCTACTTTAGGGAAGAAGGAGGAGATGGGTGGGTTGGTTGGCATTGGGTTCTCCATTAGGATCAACCCTACACATACAACAATTCATGTCTTTATCACTATATTTAGAGCTAGCAGACTTTGTTTGATCCACAAAATTGGCGCATAAAAATAAAAGTTTTTCCTCACCACCGCTAAATGTTTGGTTCCGGGTAGCGGAGAACAAATCACGTTGTACCGTTCCAGAACAGCCTACTGGCCACGCTGGCTGCTCATTTAAAAGGGGTCCGTAAAGGCACATTAATTGATGACTCTGTGCGGCCTGAAGAAAATTATATACGCAGACGTTTTCTGACCAACGAAGGTGCTGCCTTTACACTTCTTTTTCTTTTCGAAAATGGCCACGGACTTCTCTCCTCGCTCCTCGCCGCTAGGCGGACGTTTTTGCCTGAGAGATACCACAACGAAGGAGTTTGAGCACACAAGTCACTGCAGGTGCAGACCTAGGAAAAGGGCATTCTCCATCTGAAATTTTAAATCGAAATGAAAGGCTGTTTTCAGCCTTTTATCTCTTTTCTCCGCAACGTATTTGGTTAAAAGATAGTAAGTAAAATGGCTGAGGCACTTTAAAGCATTTTTTTCATGTACGCGACGGATTTTGAGGTTATGAAAAAGAACTTGTCAGTGAATTGGCTTATTTTCTAGCCTGCGAACAAGTGCCGGGGGTGGTGGCGGACAGAGCCAGGTGACTACTCCTTTTTTCAGGCGGGAGCTAGCAGTACGTGCATTCTGGTCTAGCCCCATACTGTGTAGACTGGCGTTTAAGGGCCTCTGTACAATTCGTCAACAGCAGGTTGAGGTCTCGCCAGAAGATGCCCTTGCTGCAGAGGAGCAAAACAATACTACTTTCAGTAATTTAAACATGTTAAATACTTGTATTTCGCTCATCAAATGTGTCCATTGTCCATTGTCGATTTGTGGTTTTTCAGGAATGTTCTTTTGCGGAGCATTGGCCAAATTTCTTTAAACAGTTTTAATCGTTTCCATTTCTCTGCTCTACCTTCATGTTGCATAAGGCGTACGTGTGTACCTAAATCCCTCAAGTCATACTGAGGTGATCGATAAAGAAGTCTATACGCTAAGCGAGGTTAAGATTAGTTTATTATAAGCAAAGGCTCAGAAGGCTAAGAGCAAATAAAAGAAAACTAGTGTGAAAAGTTTTGCAGACTCGGCTTACTCTATTTGTTTTCTTTCTCTGTTTGAGTTTCGGCTGGTGACATCCTAAAATCAAGTTTAGTTCCACATGTTTTGGGAATATAAAATATAAAACTAAAAAAAAAAAAACAGTGTTAATTGTCATTTTATTTTTTCTTGTACACTCGTGCGATGATTTATCCTTGTCTGTACAGTTGCGTGACCAGACTCAAATTACACACGGGCTTTCATCACGCATCACAGCGTTTAGTCCGAGGCTAAACGACGGAAGATTTCAGTAAACTGCGGCCACTTGCGGTTGAAACGACCGACTCTTTTTTATAACCATCAAATTGAAAGCGTTTTTCAAAAGATTTTAACAGCTTCCCGTAATGTGCCCCTTGTAAAAGAAGCTAAGTTAGCAAGAACTTTTGTGTGCCTCCACTCGCGGCTAGCTTGTTTTCAGCGTTCCAACATGCGAAACTACGCTGCACGTTTCGGCGTGTCAGCGACGCACTTTTGTAATGCCGCCAAAAATTTTTTTCCACAAGAAACGGCAAAGGATGTGCTTTAAAATAGTGTTTGTTTCATGTTGAAATTCCATGTATCAATTGTTTTTTTCGAT